GGACCCTGAGAATTACCGTATTAGCAGTACCCAAGTCGATGACTTTCCACGTCCTGATGACACACTGCTCTGCATAGTAGACTGCAACCTTATGTCTGCTTCAGAATGGGAAACACTATTTTGGGAGAATGTGCACTCCCCGACAGAGTATTGCAGGCACAGTACATATTCATGTATTCATGGGTGCAGCACAGCTGTCTATACCAGCAAAGTTGGTAGCAACGTGATTAGTAAACAGAGTATTGCAGGCACAATACATACTCATGGGTGCAGCACAGCTGTCTATACCAGCATAGTTCACCCAGTTTGCTGCAAAGGACAACATGAGAATGCCTGCTCTTCTGCGGTGAACCTTCTTCTCTTGTACTTGGTGTACCTGGCATGCTATCTGTCATGGACGTCTTTCTATCTTGCGTTATCTCCTCACCTTCTCTGCCACCTACCTAGAGAGATAATTGGCTATGTCCTCCTCCTATCGTATGCTATGTCCTCTTCATCAGCAGCTGAGAAGTGAACTGCTTTCCCAGAATTCTGGTGGCAGCAATGCCAAGATGAGGACTACTACGGTGTGTCCTGCCCTGCCCTGCTCATGCCTCACACAAATAGTGTCGCTGGGCCTACTCCAACCTCTGCTCCAAATGACCTCAATTTTGGGTCGTTTGTATCGAAGCCGGATCATAGGCCCAGAATGGAGGTTTAGGTCCAAACAGAGCATGGTCAGCCATCCTCTTCGGCTCCAGTCCAAAACCGGCAAGCTTTCCACCTCTGCTACTGTCTTGCCCGATCACAAGGCCATGGCAATTACAGCTGTATCTGGCCCCACCATTGCCCCAAATACAACTAAAATAACCACATTTTATGTTGAGGGAAGGTGGCAGCTGACAATGCCTTGGCTAAGATGTACTGCATGGCGTACAATGCCAAGGTAGGACTGGAGGTGAGTGAGCAATCTGACCACAGAGAAAAATGAGATAGAAGCCCCCAGACATGGAAACAACATAGGCCAGGACTCCCGGAAACTGAAGAGACGTCGTAAATGTGTAGGACCAGAGGAGCACAAAGAGGCAAATATAAATCAACACTAAGAACAGTTAAAATCAGTGAGAAACAATATGTGGAAGAATCATAGTGAATGAGGCACAGTGATTGACGTTTGTTGCTTAGTGGCTCGTAGACCCTCTAGACGCCTAAGGGATCCTCAATACCTAAGGGATCTTCCATAGAGGAAACCTGGGGCCCATAAAACATGCAGAAATCAAGACCTTTGGCCCTACTCTGGCTGCATTCCATCCGACCCTGGCTATCCCTATGATGGCATGTGTCATGGAACCGGCCAAGCAGTCTTATCCCCACATGCCCCTCATGTGCACCTGGTGTTGAATATAGTCTGGGTACACACTGTCATGGATGAACATCCATGCTGCGGTAGGGTGAAATGTCCCACACTGGGCTTCACTTTCATCCCATCTCACTTTATGAATTAGCATCCCATCTCACTTTATGAATTGGTTAAGTGATCCACTTTTTTGGTGGCAGGTCATAGGTTCGATTACGAGTGAGTTGATCTTGGACTTCTTGCATGTTAGCAAGCAAACACAGTTTGCAATGGCTTTTTCTTTTTTTTTGGAAAATCTTCATGGAGCAAAACTGCACTACAAATTAACTCTCAATATACACTGCTTACGACCAGTTCCAACGGCCATTCACATCATTCACCCCTTTTTCAATGAGACTTAGCGGTAGCCGTCTTCCGGGTCCACATTGCATTGCACCATCTCCATTTCTACCCAGCACAGTGCCGATTGCAAATTTGACCAAAGAATGTCCCTCCTCTGATATCATCGCGCTCACGTACTCCAGCCGCGTTCCGTCATCGTTTCTCAACCTGTGAGCAATAAAAAGGGTATGCGATGCAATAGACGAGCGGGCATGCAGAGACCCCACGAGAACCACCAGACTCTGCCCTCTCCTACAAACCGTCTCCTCCATCAAAACAGGGAAACTCTTTGAGCATTCATCCCTGCATTCATTAACTCATTGCTAATCGTCATAAATTAAGCCCATATCTGTGAGCATTGGAGCAGCGTCTTTCTCTCAGCTGAAGATACGGCCTTTACCCCCCCCCTAACATCCGCAGGTGGTGCTGAAGATACAGCCTACCGTCTTCACCCGAATAGAACGCCCGGTCATTTTAGCTGTATTTGATGTAACTTTCAGTCCAGATACGGCAATAATTACCGGGCGTCAGGGTCACCAGCCCGTACGTATGGTGGCCCGGGGCAGACCTCTGTACGTACGGCCGTTCGGGGTCCCGTATGGGGTCCGAACCCGATGACGTTCGGCTCCCGCCAAAAATTATTTCGGGCCCTGAAAATAATTATTTTTTTCTGAAGTTTTTTTTGTGAGTTGTCTATGACGTGAGGTACATGCCTGTAAATTTTCAAGTCATTTGGCTAAGCCAAATAAGAATTAAAAATCGCCAAAGATGGCGGTGTCAAAACGTG